ATTTCTAATTAATGTGTGTGTGGGAGGGGAGGTCTCGTTTTGTTTTATTCCATTAGGTCAGAATCTGTGTTCCTGCAAATATCTGCTCTCCTATGTCACCAGTGGTGAAATTAATAGCTGTGACAATGTCCCCAGACACTTGGACAATGTCTTTGTGGGGCTGGAGTGTGGGAGACCTGTAGGCTGTGTCCTCCTCAGTCCTCGTGCCCTTTTTGTCCCCTGGATGAGTCTGGGCCTCCGAGGTACCGGGTGGTGTGTTCCTGCCCCCACTGGAATCCAGCTCTGTCCACTTTTCTTTCTCGTGTTTATATAAAGCAGATAAAATAGATCACATCCTGACACGCTGTCTTTGATTTTAAAAGGCTGAGGCCTTGCCCTGGCCTGTTCATCTCAGTGGTTAGAGAGCATGGGTCCTCGGATGGAAGGGTCCAGGGTTCGATTCCCGCCAAGGGCATCTACCTTGGTTGCAGGCTCTGTCCCGGGCGGGGAGGGAGTGGGAGGCAACCGGTCACGTGTCTCTCTCACATCGATGTTTTTCTTCCTCTCTCTCCCTCTTCCACTTTCTCTGAAAAACAATGGAAAAATACCCTTGGGTGGGGATTAAAACCAAACCAAACGAAACAAAACGGCCGAGGCCTCTTTTTCAGCTCCATTGTAGACAGTTGCTTTTTTCCTCCATGAAACAGCCCTGACTCATCCACTCCTGGGTGAACAGGGACCCCTGCCTTCTCTTCCTTCCCACGCTCCTCCCCAGAACGTCATCGATGCTCACGACTCCCTGTCACTTGGTTTGGGGTCTCTTGTAAGCCAGCACTGAGGTGGGTTTATTCTCTGACCCCAAAGGGCAAGGGCAAGGGCAAGGGCAAGGGCAAGGGCAAGGGCAAGGGCAAGGGCAAGGGCAAGGGCAAGTTCTCATGCCAAGACCTGTTGGTCAGTGGGGTCCTGACAGCTCCAAGGGCCTCTCTGAGGGTTTGTACTTTGGCAAAACCTGTATTTTAGACTGGAAGCCTGAACCGGCACCAGCTTCTTATCCTGACGCAGACGCTGTGCCTCCCCCTTCTCGCACGAAGTTCTGTTTCTTTTCTAATATTTCCCTTTTCTTCTTTTACCAAATATGGTTATTTTTTCGTGTGCATGTGTGATTTGGAAGGAGTGTATTTTCTTCTAATGCTCCTTCTGCATCTCAGAGCCTGACTTTTCAGTGCGTTGTTTGTGGTGAGGTGGGACCCTTTGTAGCTGCATTCACTGCGTGTGGAGGGGAGGGCTCTGGGCCTGGGCTCTTGGGAAGCCAGCTGGCAAAGGGGACTTGGGGACACCACTTCCTACAGTTCCCTCAATTGTGCCAGCTCTCCCTTAGTGGGCAGGGTCCAGGTCCTCACAGGCCGGTGGGGCCTGAGGTTTCTCAAACCGCCTAACTTAGGGTTTTGCACCTTGAGTCAGTGTGGGTCTCTTCCTAGATCCGGGGAGATTGTGGCCAGGGAGATTATGGGAGGGCACTCAGGCCTCTGGCAAAGGGTGCAGGGGGTTGCCCATGAGAGGACCACCTCTGGCATGACCTCTGCAGGCCTGGGCTCAGGTAGACCTGGCTGCAACCCGCGCCCTTCCTCCCTCCTTGCCCTGCCCTCTCTCCTTAGCTCAGCCCTGGGCCTCCCACTAGCCTGCTACTCTCCTGCCAGCTGCCTTTGCCGAGTCCAGGGCCCTCAGGTGCCAGATGCTGAGGTTGCTCAACATACGATCACTATCCAGGCTTGTCCTCTCTGGAGCGGGGGGTGGGGGGACAGGCCTACAAACCTCTCCCGTCACGTAGAGAAAACTGAGGCAGAGTGAGCCGCTGAGGCAGGCCTGCCACCTAGGCTCGGGCACTACACAGTGCAGGCCTGGGGGCCAGCCTCCAGGACAACGCCCAGAGGAGAGCTTGGTTCTGTGAGTGCCCACAAGCCGGACTCAGGCAAGGCCCTGGGCCTTGAGGTCCAGTTCTGGCTGCCATGCATAGCCTGTGGCTCTGTGCCCCGAGGCCCAGTGAGGAGAGTCCTGTCCTAGCCCTGCTTACCCGCAGCTGAGAGGAGGCCTGACTCCTAAGCTCCGCAATCTTCCTCCTTCCCTCTGTCCACCCTCTGAGTTCCAGAGCCGCCATATGTCTAGGTGTCCTGCCCCCATTAACCTGTGGGGCACACGGGGCTGGGGTGGGACCATCCACAGTGGCCGCCAGGGCTGCAGGAAATGAGAAGTAACACTGGGGGAGAGGGCAGCCCTCGCCCCCCCCCCCC